GAACCGTTACGGGCCCGGGAGGGCGGGCCGAGATCTCTCCCGACTCTCAAGGAGGCGTCCCGCCGGCTCCGTCGCTGCCCTCACACCCACACGCCTTCACTCAACAAGGGCCCCCAGCCCCCTCCCAGGGGCACAGCCATCCTCCCCGGGCTCCTCTCGCCCGGAGAACCTGTCTGAGCACTGCAGATGGACTCAGGGAGGAGGCGTGACCAGCCCTCACAGCCAGTTCCCTCAAGGGCTCGTCAGCCGTGTTCCCCACTGTGCACCTTACGGTCTCTTCACAACGCTCGTGCTCACCCGGAGAGACCGCATCTTCTGGACCGAGTACCAGGACCTGTACTGTGATACAAACCACGCGAAACTGGGACTGCTGCCACCGTTGGGCACCAGGCCTTCTGGACTCTGGGCTCCAGGCACTCTGAGCCCTCTCACTACCTCTCTTCCCTCCCAAAGTCACTCAACGATATCCTGCCTGGGAAAAGCATTTGAAAGTCGTAAGCATGCCAGAGAGAATAAAAATGAGGAAAATATGGAAACCAGGTTTCCTACCCATTCATCTAATTTAATCTGCCTGGAGCACTCATCTCCTATGTTTACAAAACAACTTTAAAAAGTCTACTAAAACTTTCAATAGATTCTATTTCTACTATTCACTCATTCATCCAATTTTGAGCTGCCTAATAATGAAAGCATTCTTCTATATCTGAGTGCGCTTTTACACAATGTTGTGCTTCTGTGGCTGTCCCGGTGAGTTAATCAGCACAGCACCCTATCCTGATGAGCTCTAAGAATGTGATCTCAATACGTCCTCAAAGCATTTTGATTTTTGCCTATGGGACTTAGAGTGATTTAGAAAGTGAGGATTTACCAGCCAAGGCAATATTATGTAGAGATCTCTCGATGAAGACGTCTACACCTGCTTTTCACACACGCTGCGTTTGCTCCCCACCTGAGAGGTGCATGGCTGCTGGGGGGATGACACGATGCTGGGGAACCCATGTGGAAAAGGAGCTGTGGCCTCTTAATGTGGCTCCAACACACTCTGGAGTCTAAGCCCAAGACGCAGGGCTCTGACTGAACTGCCTGTGGTCCCGTGCACTCAGCGCCAAGGCACAGCACTGCCTTCAATTCGAAATGTGCTGAGCACTGGGCCTTCGACCAGCACCCAATAGGAGGCAGAGTGGGTCCAGCCGTGGAGCAGCCCCAATCGTCACGCGTCCAGTAAATCTTGAAACATCCTCACCGGGGCGATGAGATGCTATGCTCACAGCAGACCCCTTGCTAATGTGGTACAGCTCGAATTTCAGAACAGAATTTTCCTTTCCATTAACTCCTGTTTCTTTTCCTTTCAATTTCCCAATCAAAAATGACCAAGAGGGCTTCCCTGGTGGCGCAGTGGTTGGGAGTCCGCCTGCCGATGCAGGGGATGCGGGTTCGTGCCCCGGTCTGGGAGGATCCCATGTGCCGCGGGGCGGCTGGGCCCGTGAGCCGTGGTTGCTGGGCCTGCGTGTCCGGAGCCTGTGCTCCACAACGGAAGAGGCCACAACAGTGAGAGGCCCGCGTACCGCAAGGGAAAAAAAAAAAAAAAAAAAAAAGACCAAGAACTTTCCAAGGAGCCCTGGTAGTGCCAGGAAAGATGCCAGCCACCTCCTGTAAGCTAGGCTTCGGGGTGGCTCAGATAGGTCTCCCCGAGCGCCGGGGGTGGGAGAGGTGAGCCTGGAATGTTCCAGCAGTTGGGGGCCTCCCCCTGAAAGGAGATGGTTTATCGTTTTGTTGGTTTCAGGGACCCAATGCAGCAGAGAGGAACTGACAGGCAAACAAAGCCCCAGTGTCTCTTTGGCTCATTCCAAAAGAAAAGAGTGAAAGCAAATTTAAACCACGGAGCACCCTGGGGCGGAGCAAAGAGGCTCTGAGAGCACGCAGTCTGGCTGGGACGCCAGGCCTGGGCTCTGCTAGGCTCAGTGACAGTAAGCTTCATAGAGGACTTTACACAACACTCTGGGCACGTGCCCAAGTCTGACGAAACCCTGGGGGTGAGCAAGGCAGCTACGTGCACCCCTTTTACATTCCTGGACAGGCACACAGGGCGCCCAAGTTAGAGGTACTGCTCACAGGACACAGCAGGAGCCAGGGTTCCTGAGGCCCAGGGCTCCTCCCACCACCGCCCGATGGGCAGGAACCAGGAAAGGACAGGGGCAAGTGACCACAGGAACTCACACATCATGACATGTGATACCTTACCCGTGATTATTCTCTGGCTGAGGCATCCCTGTCTTAAATGATACAGATAGAAGAATCTAAGAATCCACCCTCCCCCTTTCAAGTCGCTTAAGACGGGGGACTTATTTGCTATACAATTCAGAATATTACTTAACTGACTTTCCCTGCTAGCCATGCACCTGCATCTCTATCTATACGCATGCACGTGTGTTCATATGGGCTGTACAAACCAAGTATGAAAGGACCACGTGAGCAGACCCTGTCCTCTAGAGCTGTAGGCTGAACGCACACATGGACAGTTACGACGCTGACAGGAAAACTAGCAAGTACATACCCAGCATTCAGAGAGGACAGAGTAGCGACTGGAGACTGACTGACAGATGGACAGCCTGGCCCCACCGTGCTCTCAGCACCCAGGAGACCAGTGTCCTTGGTCACTGCCTTCCCTGCTTTATAAAAAAGCCTGTCTTTTTTTTTTTTAGTACCAAGTAATACTGTTTTTCTTCTTTCTTTTTTTATATTCCTGCAGATTAAGGGTTCCTGTATTCTTTGATTTCATATATAGCAGACTTCTACGTCTGTAAATGAATGTGTGTACAGTATATATATATAAAATGTGATATAATCTTTACAAATATAATCTAATCACCTGGATTTTTTTGTGTGTGTGTGGTACGCGGGCCTCTCACTGTTGCGGCCTCTCCCGTTGCGGAGCACAGGCTCCGGACACGCAGGCTCAGCGGCCATGGCTCACAGGCCCAGCCGCTCCGTGGTATGTGGGATCTTCCCGGACCGGGGCACGAACCCGTGGTCCCCTGCATCGGCAGGCGGACTCTCAACCACTGCGCCACCAGGGAAGCCCCATCACCTGGATTTTTAATAAACGTGTAAATACACATATCATTTAAAAGGACCTTTCCACAAATGGAAAGATATACCATGCTCATGGATTGGAAGAATGAATATTGTTAAAATGACCATACTACCCAAGGCAATCTACAGATTCCATGCAATCCAATCAAAATACCAATGGCATTTTTCACAGAAATAGGACACTCCTAAAATTTGTATGGAACAAAAGACCCCAAATAGCCAAAGCCATCTTGAGAAAAAAGAACAAAGCTGGAGGCATAACACTCCCTGACTTCCGACTGTATCTCAAAGCTACAGTAAACAAAACAGTACTGTCACAAAAACAGACACAAAGATCAACAGAACAGAATAGAGAGCCCAGAAAAAAATCCATGCATAAGTGGTCATCAAAGGAGCCAAGGATATACCATGGGGAAAGGACAGTCTCTACAAGTGATACTGGGAAAACTGGACAGTCATATACAAAACAATGAAACTGTATCTACACCATACACAAAAATCAACTCAAAATGGATTAAAGACTTGAACATAAGAGCAGAAAAAATAAAACGACTAGAAAAAACCACAGGCAGTAAGCTCCTTGACATCAGTCTTGGCAATCACTTTTTTGGATTTGACACCCAAAGCACGGGCAGCAAAGGCAAAAATAAACAAGTGAGAATACAGCAAACTAAAATGCTTCTGCAGATTAAAAGATATAACCTGCTATGTATAAAAAAAATAAGCTACACAGATATATGGTACAACACAGGGAATAAAGCCAATATTTTATAATAACTATAAAAACTATAAATGGAATATAACCTTTAAAACTGTGAATCATTGTGCTGTATACCTGTAACATATACTATTGTACATCAACTATACCGAAAAAAAAGGAAAAAAAGCTTCTGCACGGCAAAGGAAACCATCAACAAAATGAAAAGGTAACCTACTGAATGGGAGAAATCATTTGCAAATCATGTATCTGGCAAGGGGTTAATATTCAAAATATATAAATAACTCATACAACTCAACAGCAAAAAAACAAAACAATCTGATTAAAAAATGGGCAGAAGATCTGAACAGACATTTTTCCAAAGAACACACACAGATGGCCAACAGGGACATGAAAAGGTGCTCAACATCACTAATCATCAGGGAAATGCAAATCAAAACCACAATGAGATACTACCTCATAACTGTTAGAATGGCCATCATCAAAAAGCAAGAAATGACAAATGTTGGAGAGGGTGTGGAGAAAAGGGAACCTTTATGCACCATTGGTGGGAACGTAAATTGGTGCAGCCACTCTGAAAAACAGCATGGAGGCTCTTAAAAGTTAAAAATAGAACTACTATATGATCCAGTGATTCCACTTCTGGGTATTTATCAGAAAAAAATAAAAATACTATCTCGAGGAGATCTGCACCCCTATGTTCACGGCAGCACTATTTACAACAGCCAAGACACGCAAACAACCTAAGTGTCCACCGATGAGTGCAATGGATAAAGAAACTGTTACACACACACACATACATACACACACACAATGGAATATTATTCAGCCGTAAAAAAAGAATGAAATCTCGTCATTTGTGACAACATGGATTGAGGGCATGACGCTAAGTGAAATAAATCAGAGGAAGACAAATGACATACGATTTCACTTCTATGTGGAATCTTAAAACAAAACAAAACAAAAACAAAAACAAACTGATAGACACAAAGAACAGATTGGTGGTTGCCAGAGGCGGGGCAGGAGGTGGGCCAAATGGGTCAAGGGGTTCAGAAGGTAAAAATTTCCAGTTACAAAATAAATAAGTCATGGGGAACGTTCCTGTAAAACAACCAAATGTAAAGAAGGCTGGCAAGTGTGCCACCCGTTTGGTCAGGCGGGCCACCCTTAGAGGTGTGACAGTCAGTACCTGCAAGTCTGCAAGCTCCATGGTGGTCTTTCCTTCGAGGCACAGGGCCTGTGCAATGAAGGCATGTAGATCCTCCAGACAGAGGGTGTCCACCTGCGTGGGAGAGAGAGCCAGCGTCAGCCCCAGGAAAACCAGCTCGGACCAAATATAGCCATGGGACACCATGCATGTGCACATACACACATACACTCGTACACACACACACACACACATACACACACAGAGGCAGCAGAAGAGACGCCAGTGGAGGTGAGCAGGGTCTTTTCTCCCACCACCCACAGTCCCTGGTGTGAAAATCTCCACAACACCTAGGGCCAAGCTGGACTGGGGAGCCTGTTACTCACTAGCAAGGCAGAACGCTCCAGAGCGCCTGCGGAAAGCCTGAGCTATGACCAAGTCTAAGTCTTGGAGCAACACAGGTCATCAAGTTTTGACACATATTTCCAGAACTGACAATTCAGGGGTTTGCAGACGGAGAGCACCCACAGCTGGCCTGAGCCAGAGTGATCAGAGCTGGGATAAACACCCACTCTTGCCAGCCCCAGACATCAACTGTGTCCTCAGATCCCAGTTTAAAGGAAACCAGGATTCCCCAGATATGAGTCCCCTCCCATCCTTTGTGGAATCAAAGAGTCTAACCAAAGTGTGAGTGAGAAGCAAGGAGAGACAGAGATATGGAGAAAGAGACGGACCCTGGAAAGGAGGAGGGAATGGAGATCAAAGACGGCACCAGGCCCGGCCATCGGCAACACCTCTGCACCCTCCTCACAGGGTCACAAGGCTCTGCCACCAAATGCCACACTGGTCCCGTCACTATCCATTTCCATGTTTACTCCAAAATAGTTGTTGCCTTTGTATAAATGACAGCTGTAATTATTTCAGGGAAAAACCATGAAATCTACAAACGTGCAGCACTCGTGACCAAGAAAAAAGATCCCAATCCACAGAAGCAAGACCAAGCAGAAAGTATTTTTTTTAAACCCATAAACCCTCACCTCTCTCTGCTCAGACAGGTTTGTTGGCATACAGTTAGTTCTGCTTCTTGCCATTAGCATCTTTTGCAGAAGGCTGATTTTAAAAGACACTACCTATGAGAAAGGAATAACTCTTTCATGTCCTATTTTTTTCAGTTAACCTATTTCATACTCTGCCACCACCTTTGTAATTAACAAATCTATAACATATCAGAGGAGGCAAGTCTTAGTAATACCAATTTTTTAGAATTTTGCATAATGGATATTATTATTATAAAGTATTTGCTCCAGTATAGATTATAAAAAATATGTAAAGTTTCTATGATGCAAACTTACACTCCCAGGAAAGCTTCTCAGATAAGCCTCTGATAAAAAATGCTGCTCACTTGTAGGTACGAATCCAAGTGAACAAAAGAGAGGGTTTTGTTTCTCTACAGGTTCTGTACTCTGAACAGGATGTAGTTAACCCGTATGGCATATCAAAACATCTAATATAAGCTTAACTATATAAAAGTACAGTATTTTTTAAAAATTACCTTTTTAGTCTTATTAATCCTGAGAGAAGTTATCCCCGTGAATAATAACACAGTACAGTACCTTTTGATCTGAGGGACAACGCTGATGTGTCAATTTGTTTTCTAGTTTTAAAAAGTTCCAATTTGAATGTGTCCTTGCAAGTCAAACCAACACTGAGTCTATCTCATGCTGACTTACTTACACTAAAGAGATGTTCACTGAAAGGGCAGTTACTAGTGTAAAGAAGGTATAAGTAGAAGTTTTCCTGATGCTTGTCTTGCTTCAGGGTTATATAAATATGAGATGTAAAGTGACTGTTCTGTGATTTGGAATTTTTTTCCTGTTGGAAGTGGATGTTCATAACTAACGATCACTTGCACAGCTGACAAGAAAGCAGAGCTGTATCGGGTGACTGTGAATGGGTTCAAGGACCTATCTCTACTGCTGGAAAAGAATAATGCAAAACGTAGTCCTAGGAGCGCTAACACATGGCATCACTATCCGTATGTTCACAAGGAGTACTGAGAAGAAAAGCACTGATCTTTCTGAAGGAGAAAACTCAGCTATTGGTCATCTACCACTTCCCAATTCCCTCTATGGGTCCACCTCAGCCACCTGTAGATTCATAAACAATGGACAGAAAATATTAACTGACAATATATGCATGTACATTTAGTAAAAATATAAAAAGAAATATATTTTTACATTTAAATACTAAATAACCCTGCCATCATTTATTGATTTACACTTTGCTGAGTCTGGTGCAAATAAAGGAAAATTCTACTCAAAACTAAAGTTGATACTGGTGCATGTGAAACCAATAAAGAAGCAATAAAATCTCTAAGGGTGATTTAACTATATATACCACGTTTGTACAAAATGCAAAATACAGGACTAGCTATAAAATGACAGAGGACTTTTAGAAAGGAAAAATCAGTATATGAGTCCCCTGAAATGTAATTCTACCATAAGTTTCTTAAAGACAATGAATTCAGGTTTGAAAAATAGAAACATAATTTTCTATTCCAGACGAATGAAAACTTGATAGTTACGGCAAAGCAGACGCAGACCTATCACCTACAGAGACCAGAGGAGGGGACAGCTGCTGGGGATCAGGAAAGCTGGTGAGAAGGTCTACATGGCTAAAGAAACAGACACTTGATGGCAAAGGACTTGTGCAAACAGTTCAGCTGGGGAAGGGAAGTAGGAGATGGAAGGTATTTAAGCCCTTCTTTTGTTGAGGCGTCCCAACGTTATCATGCACGTGGAAACTAATAAAAGGCGAATGTTTTCAGTGGCCCTTGTAAGCTCCCTGCATAAACTAACAAACCGCACGAACGAGGAGCTGGTGGCGCCTCCCCACGCGTGGCTGTGGCCTTCTCCACCCCGTGCGTGGCCCAGCTCCGCGGGTGGGGGTGGCTGACAGCGACAACCACCCTGGTGGGCTTTTCTCTGGGCACCTGTGCAGGACACTTCTCGCCTTCTACAGAATGCCTGGCCAGTAGCCTCACGAAGAAGGTGTGATCCCGTTCGCAGGTTGAAAAGCGAACGTTTGTTAGATGACTTAGGAAAGTTGAAGTAGTCTCCCTTGGTAGCTCTGTGCTTCTGGGAAGAGCTGTGACTCTAGCCAGGTCAGCCGGACTGCAGTGCTGGACCTTCTCACCATTACGTGAAACCCCACCAACAGGAACCACCACCCACACAGGGACACAGGAACACTCCAGAGCCCAAAAAGCTCAGCAAGCGTGAGCAAAGTGCAACCGGGCTCCTGCACGGGTCAGACGCCTCAAGTCTCCATCACACTCAGGTGCAGCCCACCTCTAGTCCGGCAGCAGACGGGGCTTCTCAAATGTACGCCCTCACTTGAGTCCGAGCATTTCGAAGGACTGGAGTTTATGGAACAGACACTGGGCAGAGATGGTGCAGGGGACCGACCCACGGCTACATCCCAGAGCACCACACCCCACGAAAGGCGAGGGCCAGGAGTGAGGGGTGCCAGCAGCAGCTTCGACAGGAAAGGAGGTTACCTGCACAAAGAGGTAGATCAGGAGGCAGCACAACGCTTGAAAGGGGCTCTCAACCACCTGCAGCTCTTCTCGCGAGGAGGAAAGGTCAAAACAGGCCAGGAGTGTGTCCAAGCGCTGGGCCTGTAGTCCTGCCTCTTGGCTCAGCCACAGTAGCTTCAAACTAGGCGTTCCCCCTAGTTAGAGGAAAGTCCATTTACCGTTATTCTTTGCAGTAGCAGGTTATAATACACGTCTGCAGAAATACAATAAAGGAATAAAGGGCACTAACTTCTTCCCTTCCCGATACCCTTGGGCTTTAAAGTATAAAGCAACTGGAAATAAACATGAACAGAACTTCCTGGTTTAAACAAGCAGAAACCCTAAAAGGTCAGCATATATGTATTTCACTGAAACCAGTCTTCTTTTTTTAAATGGCTACATTGTGGGGGAAGAGGGCTTTTTCCTACCCGTGTTGCTCGCTGTACTGTCTTGGGGCGTGAGACACAGCACAGCTGCGATGGGGTGCTTGGTGGAAACACCACCTATTTGCTGTTAGTTTGCTGTTATTTCCCCAGACTAGTGGTTTTCAAACTTCATTGTGCAAAAGAACCAGCTGCCAAAATTGTAAAAAATACATTTCCTGGAGTCTGTATGCAGAAATTCTGCTTTGCTAGGTAAAGTACCTGGGAGTCTGCACTGAACAAACTAGAGACTGGGATAAGCAGGGCACCTGTGAGCCCCAAGCTTTGGAAAGCACATCCCTAGAACTATTAAACAGAAATTCCTAAAATATTAAAATTCTACTAAATTTGTGTTTTATTCCTACATTTCATATATATGTTTAAACTATTAAAATCAAAGAAAAGAAAAACTTCTCACTCATTTACCCAAGTCACCATCAATGGCAGCATGAGTCTGGAGGAAGACACAGCAGCCCTGCTCCTTCTGCCCAGAGGGGCCAGGCCTGGGCTGGGCCAGGTCGTGCCAAGAGCAGCAGCTGTGACTTTCTGTAGGTCCTGTGGCTGTAAGGCATCCTCAAGTGCAAGGACGGCTGGACCTAACCATCCCACAGCTTCACTAAGAAAACAAAACTCACTAACCAAATGGTATCAGAATTAAGTGACTCAAAAAAGGAAGTTCTTCCCCTTTCCTGTTTATGCTTCTCACAATGTCATTCAATATTCTCAGGTGTGTATTTCCCACCATCAGAAGTGAAACAGCCCAGCAAAAGTCACTTGCATTTCTGATATGGCTGAAGTGTTCCCTCCTCCTCAAAATACTTTTTCATTATTTATTAAATCATCTTTTCCCTTGGAAGAAAGAAAATGAAGGTAATTTTGTTTTGGCAAAAACAAAAAAAAACAATGGCACTAGTCTTTAAGGCAGAAATATTATTCCAAGAGAATCACAGGGTCAGCTATTCCTTCTTAGAAACACGCTTTTCCGGAAAACAATCATCTTGCAGGGGTCTGCAAATAGCAGCCTGTGGGCAAAATCCAGCTCATTGTCTGTTTTTGTACAACCCATAAACTATTAATGACTTTCACATTTTTTAAATAGTTGAAAATAGCAAAGTAAAAATATTTCACAATATGAGAAAATTGTGTAACTCTGCCAGAAAAGATCAAGGGTAGCCCTTACACTTTACCCAGAGTTCCATGGGCAGCTGAGATGTTCCAAAGAACAATCCAGAGATCTAAGCAGGTGATCTGCTCTGTAGGTCACCAACTACAATACACTGCCTCTGAAACACATCAGTTTCAAAAACCAAATTCTGTCACTTGGCAAAGGTTTTTGCCTGAATCCGTGGACAGACAGGAAAGTCTCAAGGCTTTTCGGAGCAACCGAGCCCTTGGAGGGGCACGCAGACGGACAAGGAAAGTGGTCATTTCTGTGAATGACAACTTGGAAGACTGTCTGAGATGCCTGGGAGGACCCACCCCAGGGTGGAGGCTGCTGGATGCCCCACTGGTAACAAAGCAATGGTCCGGAGTGTGCTTTTACAGCTATAAATGCACGAGTGAATGAATACACTCCTACACTCTAAGCCATGGCATTTCTGTGTGCTTTCTATACGGAAATAATGTAATCGTTGGGTTTTAGAGTTATCCTATGATTATTTTCCTTGTATATTCCTAGGGTAAGAAACCATAAAACTGGTTTGTGTGCACTCTGAGAACGAGAGAGGTGACACTTCCAGAAATTAACCTGCATACACTGTGTCTCAAGTTTACTTATGAAGGTTTTAATTCATAAGTCTGATTTAAATGAATATTTATTTAGCATTCTGTTTGAAAGAGCACCCCTGGCCAAAAAAAGACAAAATAAAAAACGCTGACTACTCACATGCAAACTGAATCTTTATTCTGGTTGGATAAACTTCAGTAGCTTATTTACAATAAGTAAAAAAATTCATTCAGATATAAACAGACTAGAATGAGTTGACATCTCAATATATTAAACTCTAAACTTCCATGGATGAGCTAACTTCATGCTTGCAAAATGACAGTGTTATACTGCTTCTACCTAATACATTCAAAATACAGTGAATTAGGTATAAAAAGCAGTCAGTGCAAAATTCAACCACTGGCTTGTGACTCATACGTGTATTTGTAACATTTAGTTGACAAAGCTTCCAATTATCTTTACAAATGGAAGAAAAACACGACTGAGGTTTTAAATCCATTTATTCTAATCCACAACATCAGGGAGGTGACTTCAGAGGCTGGGGCCCTGACAGCATCTCCTCACGAGGAGCACATGCTCTCACCCACAGAGCAGGTTGGTGACCTCCAGTTACCACCCACAGAAACCTCCAAGATGTGACAACACTTTTTTCACCTGTATTAACAAGTGTCAAGATGGAAACCTTCAACAGTACATGTTAAGAGGAGCTGAAACAAGAAAACTTCACTATAGTTGTTTACCAAATGATGGAAGGAGTCAAATATAGCCCCTTCTTGTCATAAAATATACCACTCCACCTCATTTCATTTTATAAAATAGTCTTCTAAGATGATCTGCAAGATTCTAGTGAGTCAAACATCTTTACATAGCCAAGAAATACTAAGTTTACTCACTGATTCTTGAACAACACTTTAAAAAAATCATTCTATTGGGTTGGCCAAAAAGTGCCCTCAGTTTTTAAGTAAAAATGAAAGACACATTATTCATTTTCACCAAGAACTTTATTGAACAATGTATTCACCCTTTTGTTCCACTACCTTCTGCCATCTTTCGGGCAACTTCATAATTCCATCTTCCCCAAACTTTTTATCTTTTTGAGCAAAGAACTGTTCCAGGTGCCTTTTACCAGTCTTCCAGGGAATGGAAATTTTTTCCATTAAGAGAATTTTGTAAAGACCAAAATAAATGGAAATCCAAAGGTGCAATGTCTGGTGAATACAGAGGATGAATCAGAACTTCCCAGCCAAGCTGTAACAGTTTTTGCCTGGTCATCAAAGAAACACGCGGCCTTGCGTTATCCTGATGAAAGATTATGCATTTTCTGTTGACTAATTCTGGATGCTTTTCGTCGAGGGCTGCTTTCAGTTGGTTTAATTGGGAACAGTACTGGTTGGAATTAATCGTTTGGTTTTCCGGAAGGAGCTCATAATAGAGGACTTCCTTCCAATCCCACCATATACACAACATCACCTTCTTTGGTTGAAGACTGGCATTTGGTATGGTTGGTGGTGGTTCATTTTGCTTGCCCCACGATCTCTTCCGTTCCACATTATTGTACAGTAACCACTTTTCATCACCTGTCACAATCTGTTCTAAAAACGGAACGTTTTCATTACATTTCAGTAGAGAATTACATGTGGAAATACGGTCAAGAAGGTTTTTTTCGCTTAACTTATGTGGAACCCAAACATCCACATAACCAGCTGGTGCAAATCATTTTCAGCTCTTGACTTGGATATTTTGAGCATGTCGGCTGTCTCCTGCATGGAATAACGTTGATTGTTCTCAGTTAATGTCTCGATTTTATCGCTACCAACTTCAACTGGTTTACCCGACCATGGAGCATCATCCAGTGAGAAATCTCCAGCATGAAACTTCGCAAACCACTTTTGACACATTCGATCAGTCACAGCACCTTTTCCATACACTGCACAAATCTTTTTTTGCATTTCGGTTACATTTTTACCTATCTTGAAATAATAAAGCAAAATAAGCCAAAAATGTTGCTTTTTTTCTTCCATCTTCAATGTTAAAATGGCTACACAAAAATTCACCAATTTTGGTAAGTCTTTTATTAAACGCATGCTGATATGACAGCTGTCACATACAATCTAACAAAACTGTTTTGAATGAAGTTAAAGATAACTAAGTGCTACTAGAGCCACCTTACGGAAAAAACGAATGAACTTTTGGCCACCCCAACAGACACACAAATTACCAATTAGATACGTGCAATCAGCTTTCCTAGGTTTGTAAAATAAGGATATGCTTATTATGACTAAAAAATGGCTCTGTGAAGAAAAAAGAAATCATCTACACTTTGTCTAAAGAAGAATCTCCAGTTCTAGAGCTAGAAAGCTATTTCAAATGCTTCCCTGTTATGTGGTCCAAGACACCACAAAATGCAGAACATCCGTAAGTGAAGTGTGATGAATGAACAAACACGCATGGACGTAAGGATCCTGTAAGGGTCGTCTGGGGAAAGGAAGCGAAATTTCAAGGTACACCCTTCTTGTGTTACCAGGAACATCATCTTTCGTGACATATTGTAAGATAAGTGGAATGTAATATCTATACAATTATAAACGTAATATAGCTAGTACATCTGGGTGTGTGTATATGTACACACACATAAAGATGGGGATGTGGATAGAATATATGCATGTAAATGAGCTCCATGAATAAAATATACCAGTAATGAAATTAATTTTTCTGCTCCCTGGCTGGTCATTTATAATTCTTTCCCCCTTTTAATTCTTACCTAATTTTTAGGTAATCTTTATAATTTTTCTGCTCCCCTTCTGTCTCCTTTCTACTTTGTTAAAAAACATCTGATTTATTTTTTATTTCCACCATTTAAGAAAGCAAGTGTTAAATCATGTGTGCTGTTAGAGGAAAAAGTCTTTTTTTCTACATTGGCCACTACATGGGGAGACTCACTGAAAATGTAACATCCATGATACCAACCTAATGGCACCATCTCAGGAGAACAAGAAGGATCAGACACGGTCTCCCCTAAAGCAACAGCTCTAGCAGCGCCACTGGCCTGGCTGGAAAGGATGGCTTTAATCAGGCAGCAAGGACACCTTGCACCTGTGCACAAGGGGCCTGCCAAGGTGAGGATCAAGCAGCAGGAGTCCACTGGTTTTACTCCCACATGTCAGGGTGAGGATGGAAAACACCTGAGACAGGAATTGGCTAGTCCATTTTCCAATTTAGTCTAAAACCACTTGGCATTTTTCCTCATGGATATAGAAAGCTATTTATATAAAAATCTTGTCATCTTGTATCACTATTAACATAAGCATGAACAGAGTAATTCATCTAAACCACCTGCAACAAAAGTTCAAGATCCCATTTCCAGTTTCCTAGTGATGGCAGACGTGCCATCCCCAGCTCCTTCTGGAAGCAGAGTCCCAACTGCAGTCTGGGTGTGCCACACGCACAAACCTGTGGTTCACAAGACCCAGAAGCAGTCTCTCTGATAAATGAATGACTTCTAGAGCTTATTAAAACCTTATATGGAGTGGTTTCTAAAATTAACTCATAATAATGAATAACCAAATATTCTCTATAATTCAAATGAGGAAGAGAACTATCATAATCACTTTCCACATTATTTCTGGAAAGATCCTATAAAATGAAAATTACATATATAGCAGAACATTTCTGGGAAACGGTTTTGGCTATCCTTTAAAAATACTTCTTGCTGTAAAACCAAATGTCAGTTCATCTTAATTTGTTTTTGTGATAAGCACCTTTTTAGGTCTGAGTATATCACTCACCAACTGAGAGAGTAAGGAAATATTCCTTCAACTTCTCTCCCTATACAATTCCACTTATAAGCAAAATGTTTTGCAGTGTTCAAGCCTTATTTGGTAAATTATAGGCTTGAGTGATAGAAAATAATAGTGACTTAAGAGAATTTAATACATACAAAAACGGAATATAAAAGTTTTAGAAAAGTATTTGTTTTCCAAAACACTAACGAGGGCCACTAAAATAAACCCTAAACCCCTCTTCTTCAGCTGTCTGTATGTAAAACACTATCTCCTACAAACATGCTTGACCTTTTTCAGATACTAAGAACTCACAGGAAGGAAGGATTTACTTCAACTAATTTTTAGGAGAACTTTGTTTTTTCCTCCTCTCCCATTATGTGTTTTAAGATACCTCCCTTGAAAAAACTTTTTTTCCAGTTAAAATAACTTTTCTTCGCCTCCCCTCCCCAGTTCCTCAAGCCCACTTTCAGTGGTGGGAACAAGATGAGAACTGACTCAAACAGAGTAGCAAGAACCCAGCCTTGTTAGTTGGGTGGGTTTCACTGAGTGACGGCCAGGCGTCAGGTCCTGGGGCCCAACCCATGACGACCTTTCTTCCCCCCCTCCACCCCCCGCCCCGCATGCACCTTGAGCAGTGGGAGGGGAACGAGGCAGGACGATTCGGCAGACTGGCCCCGGGAAAATCGGTATAACGCCCTTTCCTCAGGTGTTTTAGAACTTTATTAGATACATTGCTCTGGGACCCACGGTAGAAATGAAAATTAGTACGTGTACAGTTCTGGAAAAGTATGTTTCCACAGAGATCAGTACTGGACTTGCATCACATCAACAAATCAATGATTTATTTCAATCAGGGCTGTCTGTACCTGGAATGCTCATCTGCAGAGGCCTGACGAGGTCCGGCTGCCTCAGTGGGTTCCCAGAGTACACAAACCACTCCTTGACAGTGGGGCAGGCGCTGGCACCACCTGAGTAAAGACAGCTGCATCAGTGGACATGCGTGAGTGCCAATTCATCACCAGGCTAACACTGCACCAGACCCACATTGGCCAGGACCAACTCCACGCTGGTGAGCACAGTGAGTTCTCACATCCAAGGTCACTGAGAGGCCTTGGGCTTCCAGCAGTGGGCCCCCTACCCTCTGATCTGACGGCCATCCGTTCATTCCAACAAGAATGATAACCTTGTGGGGGGGATGGCAGGATCACCTGGGTAAGTGATTACCAGGCAGAGAGGCAGCCACAGAGATGACTCCTGCAGCATTCTGCCTTCCTTCCTTCCCACCCTCCCACCATTCCAGAAAACATTTACAGAGAACTGGAGGAATAGGACACCCTTTCTGTTCTTAAATTCACTACTTTACGTGACTATCAAGACTACTGTTATGTCAGACAATTCAGAAAGCTGATAGAAATAATCTAGAATTAAAGGCCTTTCTGTCTGTTGCTGGATTATTAATTGCTACAGAAGTTCAGGTGGCTTCCATTCTTGTACCATCCTCAGCAAAGCGGAGGTGGCGGAAGCCTGTCCTACTCAGCGTTCTCACTCAGCCTCTCCAAGCCATCAGCGTCTGGCTCCCCTGCGGCCTCCAGACCCTGTCCCCCCCAGGGCCCTCACCACACCAGCCCTGGCCTGGGGCCCACAAGGGGAACTCTTGGCCTTCCCCCTTCACGCCGGCACTGCCCTGGTGAAAGCAGGCTCCTCTTCAGTCTCATCCCCTTTCAAGCCATTCTCCATGTCAATGGGGCTTTTGGGGTTTTGCTTTTTTAAAAATGAAAATCTGACCAGGTCGGTCACTCTTTCTAATTAAGATCCCCCAATAGCTACCCAGGGACCAGAAGAAAGTGTGGACCTCGGAGCCCAGCAATCGCCCAGGGCCCCTGAGTTGCTCTGGGGGTAGTGACCGGTTCCCGGGCGGCTGACGCTGCGGGACCCTGGAGAATCACAGCTCCGGCTCACGTGCCGTGCTCCACTCAGCTGCAGCCCCCCAGATCCCCAGGCTCACCTTGTCTTTTCTTACCTCTGCATTTGGACCGCACTCTCTTCTCTGCCCGCCCCCCCACCCCCACCCCGCAGAGGCCCACTTCCCTTGACGGGCACTTGGTGAACTCCCCCCTTCCCTTTCCCTCACTCTCAGTTAGGCATCAGTCCCTCTAGTGTGGGGCCAGCGCCTGCCCCTGCACCCCCCAGCACCCCATGCCTCCCTCCCCTAGTTCTCTGGCCAGAGTCCCACATATGCCTGCATATTTCCCACGGCTGCCCACCCTAACTGTGAGTTCCCCAGAGCAAGAACTGTGTCTTCTTCATATAAAACAAGGCCCAGAGCAAATATTCATTAACTGTTAAGTTTAATGAGCAAATTCATCTCAGTCTAAATTTCACACATACCAAAAAATTTTTAAAAAGAAAGAAAATATGAGAAGTATTCTTGATGTTGTTAAAAACAAAACAATCCACTTTCTATATAATCCTCTTGGCCTAGGTTTCCATTACATTAAAAAACAGCCAGGGCTTCCCTGGTGGCGCAGTGGTTGAGAGTCCGCCTGCCGATGCAGGGGACACGGGTTTGTGCCCCGGTCTGGGAGGATCCCACATGCCGCAGAGCAGCTGGGCCCGTGAGCCATGGCCGCTGAGCCTGCGCGTCCGGAGCCTGTGCTCCGCAACGGGAGAGGCCACAGCAGTGAGAGGCCCGCGTACTGCAAAAAAACCCCAAAAAACAGCCAACTGAGTGAATACTGTCCTACTCATCCCAAGAGACAAACCTTAGGAGGTTTAGTAACTCACACTCAACGGCTGCCATTGATGAACCTAGCCTGCCCATTGACTCCTGGGGAATCACTGAAACATTCACAAAACCGCACTTCACACCACGTGCAAGTGACCATCTTTCATCTAAAACTGTTCACAGCACAGAGGTTCAGAGTTGACACCTCAAAGTTTTAATTCTAAATAACACACAAAGAAAGTAAAGATAGGTTCACATTGGGCACTGGTATCCTTTATTTAAAAACACCTGATAGGGGCTTCCCTGGTGGTGCAGTGGTTAAGACTCCGCCTGCCAATGCTAGCGGACACGGGTTGGAGCCCTGGTTCAGGAAGATCCCACATGTCGCGGAGCAACTAAGCCCGTGTGCCACAACTACTGAGCCCGCGTGCCACAACTACCGAAGCCCGCGCGCCTAGAGCCCGTGCTCCGCAACAAGAGAAGCCACCACAATGAGAAGCCTGCGCACTGCAATAAAGAGCAGGCCCCCGCTCGCCGCAACTAGAGAAAGCCCGTGCGCAGCAACGAAGGCCCAACGCAGCCAAAAAATAAATTAATAAAAATTAAAGAAATAAAATAAAATAAAAACACCTGACAGACCTTCTGTTATTTCCTTTCTTGTTAAGACCCAGGGAAGTCATCTTTTGGACAAATATTCCAAGAGAAATGCCACACAGCATCAGTCGTTCAGCTGCAATCCAGGAGGAAACAGCTGCCCATCGAGAGAGTCCAATAGGAGCTGTGAGCTCACCTCTGCGTCAGGCCCGGCAGAGAAACAGGCCCAAGGCCAGCACCAACAGCAAGATCTCTCTTCCCTCAAAATTTAGACCACCACTGATGCCCAATCCCCTCTTTCCTCATTATTTAGACCAGCACTGACAACAAATTCCCTCTTTTCTCCATAATTTAGACCATTGAGGGTTAAGTGAATATTAATTACAAAGTATTTCTTAATTAACAAAAGAAGGGAAGCTTTTGCTTTTACAATAAAATGGTTAACTGACATCTGATGAGTTTAACTGACTAGGTCTCAGCACAACAAACTATGTTCCTTAAAATGCAGTACTTACAGCTATCTACTTACAGAGCCTTGAATAGGAAACTCTTAATTTTCAAATAAAATTAACTAGCCAGAGGATAAAAGTTCAATCAGAACTGCTGATCTGAAGTTTCATTCCCTAAACAACATTTTATAAATTGTGGGGAAGGATACAGGAAAAGAGGGATAAAAACAAGCATCTTCTCCGAAGTGGAGGGCAGGTGTCTGCAGGTTCTTCTGCGTCCTGCCCTCACCTGGTGAGCTGCCTGGTGACAGAGACCCTCGATACGCCTTTGTTTCCTCCTTCTGCCAGAAGAGGGTAAAAAGGCAGTGCAGAGCAGCTAGAAAATGCTATCAACATGGCAGAGTAAGTCTGTAGTCTGGATAAGGTCTCTGTCCAGACCTAAACATTCATTTGGAAGCATGTTCACTGTTAATTCAGACTATGCCTACCACAGACACAGTTACAGCTCCCCACTCCTTCTAAAAGCCACAGCCGGATGCAAAGTGTTACCTGAAATCTTCTTAAAATAAAAATAAATGCATTTTGTTTGAAAATCCTATAGTTTAGCACATTCTCTGGGGTACCACGTAATTTCAGAGGTTTTAATCTGGTATGCACTTTGAAACAACAGCAGAAATGTTTGCAATAATTTGGTTTGTCTGAATTAAAATAATCTTCTTAAATACCTACACATCAAGAAAAAGAGAAGAGGAAATTGAGTTTGGTAATTCCTAAAAGAAAAGGTTGATTTTCTCATTTGAACTTTCAATTTGCTAGGCTCTGAGTTCAAAAGAGCAAAGTAAAAACTCAAGTAAAATTTCTTTGCTAGTTTTACTCTCTATTCACGCTATAACACTTTATACGGAAAACAGAAAAGTAGCATAATCAAACTTGTTCTTCTGCTATTCCCAAAGGACAGACACATTATACTGCTTTATAAAAGCTTCTAGTATAACTAAGACATTTTCCCCTGGGAGCAAAACTGTGGAACTGTCTACATGCCCAACCGCTCTCCCATAAAAACTCTTGATTATGCCAACACACACTGCCAGCAGTGCCCACTCCTCTCACACAACCTGGAGGGTCTGTGAGCACTGGGAGGGGAAAGAGAACGAGCAGAAGCAACATCAACTTTAACCGCTCAAGTACTGTACTTTCAAGTTTGATAACAATCCTCCAGGCTTTAAAAAGTATACATATGTCCTTATGATCCTGTAATATTTTTTATATTGCTGGTTTAATCTGTAATTATGTGCGGCTTTAGTCCTTAAAAATATAGAAAAACTCCCCATTCTTTTTTGTATACATTTGAAAAAAAAAGTCACCTTTTAGGTCAACCTCTAGGACTTGGATGAGCTGATGGCCTGTAGGCGCTTTGTAAAGGTGCCACACGGATGACATGACTCCCTAACCGCCCATCACAAGACTATCATTCTCCTGCAACTCCCATGGATTCCCAGATGTGTCTGCTAAGTGAAAACGAGGAGAGAATGACAAGGAAAAAGGACAGTTAACCTTAACTGTTAAAGACTGCCATAGGCGTGGGCTCTTCTCCAGAGCTGCAAACCAGTGAGACAAGAGGAGGAGAGCAGAACAGAATCTGCCTTCTTGCATCTTTCTGAGTTCCTTCTATTTCCTAAAATATATCAAGTTTTATGGTGATTTAACCTAATCTTATCATTAGGGAGACTAAAAAATGGAGACAGAGTTAAAATCAGCGGTAAGAATGGGTATGAAGCCAAGGATGGGCTGAGGTCTGAGTTGATTTCAGGGCTTCTCCCTACTTTTGGCCATGATGCCATTGAGCTGTCTAAATACCATATATTCAACTATATAAAATACATGTAAGAGTGACAGCGACCAACCACTCCCTAAAGAGGCATCCTCCAACATTCCAGATGAACTGGAGTATCCAACAGATCCATTATCCAAATCTTGCCCATAACTAGGAACTCTGAAGTATGAAGCCATCAATTCGGTGCTGTGCTTTGGCTCAGACCTCCAGCGTCCACAGCTGTGCACCTGCAGGAGCCCTAGTGCTGAGAGTCGATGACCGTGGAGTTAAAGGCAACTTTGATTCTAAACCTCACTCCAAACGAGTGGGCTCCTGCCTGCCAGTCAGACGGGGCTTAGAGACAGCTGCTTACCTAGTTGGGATTTG